CCCCTCCCCTCTCTTTTCCCATCCCTGGTAACCAACAAAGAAAGTTTCTTTCCATATGTAAACCTTTCCTTGGCTTTTTTAAATAGTGGACTAATGCAGTATTTGTCCTTCTGTGATTGACGTATTTCACTCACCATAATGTACTCCAAGTTCATCCATGTTCTATGGTATTTCACAGATTCTACATTGTTCTTTAAGGTTGCATAGTATTCCATTGTGTGTATGTACCATGATTTGATTATCCATTCCTCAGTTGATAGTTGCTTACGTTGTTTCCATCTTGTTGCTATTGTAATAGTGCTGGGAGGAACATGGGTATGCATATATCCATGTCCTGGCTCTTACACCTTTAGGATATATACTGAGTAATAGTTTTGCTGGATCAAGTGGTATTTCTATTTCCAACTTTTTAAGGAATTGCCATACCAATTTACACAATGGTTATATCATTTTACAGTCTCACCAACAGTATATGAGAATCCCAATCTCTCCACATCCTTGCCAGTACTTGTTATTTTCTGTCTTGTTAAACTTTGCTATCAGTGTTGGAGTGAGATGGTATCCCATTATTGTTTTGATTTGCATCTCTAGTGGGCTAATGATAACGAACATTTCTTCATGTTTGTTGGCCGCCTGAACATCTTCTTTGGTAATGTGTCTGCTCATGTGTTCTGCCCATTTTTAAATTGGATTATTATTTGTCTTTTTGATGTTGAGGTGTTGGAGTTTTCTATAAATTTTAGAGATAAGTCCCTTGTCAGATATGCCATTGCTGAATATTTTTTTTCCCAATATGTAAGTTCTCTTTCTACTCTTTTGGAGAAATCTTTTCATGCACATAAAAATTTAATTTTTAAAAGGTGCTAATCATCCAGTTTATTTTCTACTGTTTGTGCATTTTGGGTTATGCTTGATAGTCTGTTTATGCTGTCAACTAGGGCCCCTAAGTTTACCTGTAATTTTTCTTTCATGAACTTTATAATTTTAGGTTTCACATTTAAGTCTTTGATCCATCTTGCGTTCACTTTTGTGTATGGTGTGAGGTATGGATCTTGTTTTGTTTTTTTGCAAATGAATATCCAGTTTTGCCAGCATCATTTGTGAAAGAGACTATCTCATCCCCATTAAATGGATTTTGGCCCTTTTTCAAAGATCACCTGACCATAGGTGGATGTATGTATGTCTAGGTTCTCAATTCTGTTCCATTGGTCTCTGTGTCTGCATTGTACCAATACCTGGCTGTTTTTGTTTTGTTATACTTTTAATTTTTATTGTGATTTGGGTGAAAGTTTACAGAGAAAATTTATTTTCCATACAGCAGTTCATACACATTTTGTTTCATGACATTGACTAATTCCCTGCAGTATAATAGCTCTCTTCCCACCTCCTCCCAATAGTTACCTCTTCCTTGTGTCCTTCCCTTGCATATAGTAGCACCCCCTAAGCTATCTTCCTGTGTAAACACTACCCTTCTGTTCTACCATGATTGATCACTCCAAGGAGTGTACCTGATGTAAATGTTCACCCCATATACCTGTCTGTTGTTTGGCTGGAAGCCACAGGAGTGAGTTCAGTTCCAGACGTGAAGGGTAATTAGGGGCCATAGTCTCAGGGGTCTCAGTAGCCTCTGTCAGACCAGCAAACCTGTTTTTTTTTTTTAAATGATTTTGAGTTTTGTTCCACATCATCCTCTCACTCCATTCAGGATCTTCTGTACCAGTCCCCGCCTGAGTGGTTAACTGTGGTAGCCAGGCACCATCAAATTCTTCTGGTTTCATGGTCATATAGCCTGAGGATCACATAGTCCGCTAGTCCCTTGGACTAATTGTTTCCATGTGTGTTTGGTTTTCTTCATTCTTCTTTGCTCTAGATGAGGAGAGATCCATCATTGCATCCAGAGAGCTGCTTACAAGCTTTTAAGACCCCAGTCATGACTCACCAAAGTAGGATGTAGAACAATGTTTTTGTGTAGTATGCTATGCCAGTTGAGCTTGATGTCCCCTGTGACCATTGTCCTGAGCCCACAGGTCCAACTACTCCCTCGGTACTGGCTGTGGTCAAGAAGCCACCACAACCTTGTCCCTTGTCATCTTTACTATACACCCAGACATTCTTACAGCATGTACAAATATGCATGTTGAAACATCGTCTGCCATCCCTACACGTGGTCATGGGCTCAGTACCCCCTGCCTAGATATACCTGACCACCTATCTATCCACGTGTAGATCAATGCTTGCTATCACTGACAACACAGTACAGTGCATGCAGAAAGGTTCATCTTTGTTGTCTGTACCTTCTGCATACCTCTCTATGTCTTCCTGTTCCTCAGTGCCACTGTGTTGATCACTTACTTTTGGTACATTGCCCTTCCCTTCACCCAAATCAATTCTTGTCTCTACATATCTGGGAGTGTTCCCTCGTCTACCCTTCCATCCTTGGTAACCAACACAGAGAGCTTCCTTTCATATATAAACCTTGCCTTGACTTTTTACAATAGTGAACTAATACAATATTTGTCCATCTGTGATGACTTATTTCACTCAGCATAATGCCCTCCAAATTCATCCATGTTATGTGGTGTTTCACAGATTCTACATTATTCTTTTTTTTTTTGGAATGGCCAATAATTTTTATTTAATTTTGCAAGCCTGAGGTAAAAAGCATAGGCA